AGATTTATTTTTATTTTATGTATATACAAGTATTTTATTTTTATTTTATGTAAAATACAAGTATTTTACCAGAATGTTTGTATGTGCACTGCACACATGCCAAGTGCCTGCAGAGGCCAGAAGAGGGTACTGGAACTAAAGTTCCCTTGGGACTAGACATGCAGTGTAACAACCCGTTCTGCCCCACGTTTGAGGGCCACTCTGTCCTGGCCTGTTTGGATCAGTCAACAAGGTCTAGCAAGAGAGAGAGTGGGGATGGAGGGGCAAGAGACTCGAAGAATGGAGACAAGACAGGGTAGGATCCAGTCCTGTCCCGTTTATTGAAAGGAAATCCTGGGTATATATAAGCACAAACAGCGGAATGCAGCTGAAGACACTTTACCACATGCACCTTGCAGCTGGGGGCACTAAACAACAAAACAAGATATGGCTGCAAAGATGATAGCCACTTTGTGCTAGGAGTCGGCTCCCAACGATGCAGAAGTTTGTAAGCTGTTATGTCGGTATTGGGAGTGAACATGGGTCCTCTGCAAAAGTAGCAAGAACTCTTAACCACTGAGCCCTTTCTCCAGCCCCTGACTCTGAACCTTATACAAGTATTTCTTCCCCCACATGAAGACATTTCTACACTACAGTAGATTGGGAGATGTCATTTCTGTGGTCTGCTCCTTTGAAGGGAAAATGATTTGTTTGTAAGATCAGAGGAAGTGGTCTCTGTTAGTCATGCAGGCCCATATACTTTGATGAATGGAGTCCCTTGATTATTTATGAATATTTTACAGCTAATGTAGATTCAAACACACATTAGCAGAAACAGTGATTTCCTCCCTTAACACATGATACAACCTCTTTATCTTTTCATCTGAGCAAAACAACAAGGCCATGTATCTAATTAGCTTCTATCATCATGGGATAAATTTGATGTGCACATAGAAGGAAGTGGGGTGTCTTCTGCTATTCTTTCCAGTTAGTCCATGTTAGGCGCTTCCGACTTTGCAGTGCAGGAAGCCACTCTGGGCAGTGCATGCCTTCTGGGTCTGCTGACTGTCATCTGAGACCTTGCTGCCCTTTTCCAACTCCGTTCTCTCCCACTCTTCAGTTGCAGCCTGGCCTTTGCCCTGTGTGGCAGACTTTCCTTTTCTACCTCTGTAGTGTATGCCCCGCCTCTGCTTTCTTTTTCAAAATCACCTCGACAGCTTCGTCTAGCTTATCTTCAGGAGACATCAGAACTACTCTTTGCTTCTTTAGAAACATGGACCTCTTTTAGGTGGATGGTTCTGGCATCTTCAAACTCAACGATGCCCAAATATATACACAATTACAAATCTAAGTTAGGTTCTGGCATTTAAGCGATCCTGCTGCCTCTCATTAAGAGAGCTCTGACAGTGATGTGCTGTGGAATCTTCTGGGCTTGTACAGCTTTGCGTTTTAGTGGGGGTCCAATTCCACTAAATCCTCATGGATCACTTTGCCTGCAGTGAAAATTTGTGGCAACAGGATTTTTTTTTTCTCTCTCTCTGTGAATGTCAAAAAGTGCTTCTCTCAAGGGGCACAGATAGGAATCATGTGGGCATTTCTTGTTACTCATTTTCTGACTCAGTAGGTTTGGGGGGGGGACCCTAAGAGGCTATATCTCTAATAAATTCCCAAGAGATGCTGATGTTGGTTTCAGGAAATGCTGCCATAGGGGACTTCTCAGTAGCTGTGATTCATAACACAAAGTCTCTTCACCAACACTCTCCCTGCTCTGAGGTAATGAACTCTTAAATCAACTCTCAAACAACTCCCGAATTAACTCTAGGCTAAGAGCCTCCAGTACGCATGCTGCCTCCCCAACTGTATTTAAAGCTTTCTCATTTGCCATTCCATCTACTTTCTGGTAATTACCATTCACATTTTCAACATATCACGTCACATGCTTCTGTTCCATGCCTTTGCTCATCCACATCGAGCCTTCGTGTGCAACAGTGGTCAATTTCTCTCTCATTGCATTTTAAAACATTTATTTATTTATTTATTTATTTATTTGGTTTGTGTGTGTGTGTGTGGTATGCATGCGTGTGAACATTTGTTCTCATATGTGGGCTCGTGTGTGTGTGTGTGTGTGTGTGTGTGTTAGAGATCAGCATCCAGGAGTCAATTCTCTCTTGTTGCCATGTGAATCCAGAAATCAGGCTTGGCAGAGAGCGCCCCTCCCCACTCCACTGAGCCATCTTGCCGAACCATCTAATTTCATTTTTAAAAACTTCATTTCTCTTTAAAATATAGTTATCACTTTAAACGTTTTCACATGTATTAGACGTGATTAAAGGTACTCATTAAACACCTTGAAATACAACGTGAACATGGGAATAAACGGTGTCAGTCAAGACAGGAATAACTGGTCTGAACTTGTGAAGCTGTTTTTTTTTTTCTTTCTTAATAACTTGAAACTTTTTTAAAAAAAATGTTTTGGTGTTACATTAAACTTCCTTAGAACTACCTTAGTAAATTCATAGCTTATTGTAGAGAGGTTCATTCAATTGAATTCAATAAAAATAGATTTAATAGCTTCCAGTATCTTATCTGTGTTTTCCAAATTGATTGGGTATTATGTTACCTGTGGTCACTCCAGTATTCATGTTACCTCCCCTTTAACTGTACTTTAGTAGTACTTGTTTTCAATAGGTGTTAGCATTCTGTCTAAACTCCACCCCCACAGTTACCTGGCAACAGTCAAATATGCTCCACCCCACAGTTACCTGGCAACAGCCAGGTAGGCTTGACCCACTATAAAAGGGGCTGCTGGTCCCCTCCTCCCTCTCTTGATCTCTTGTTCCTCTCTTGCCTTCTTGCTCCCCATTCTATCCCCTCGCCACTCCCCAGTTCCCTTTCCGAGTGCTCATGGCCAGCTTCTACTTCTCTACACACTCTCTCTCTGCCTTTCTCTGCCTCTGCTACCCTCTTAACTCCCCTCCCCACGCCTTGAATAAACTCTATTCTATACTATACCGACATGAGGCTGGTCCCTAGACACGGGCCCGCTGAGACATCTCCTTCCCCCACACCTCACCACCTCTCCACAGAACATATCCCCTCTCTCTTTATCTTTTTATAAACACATCAACAGGTACTATTATGAACGGAAAAGCATTCAAACAGGTGGCTCCACCCATTCTTAGCTGAATCAACTCGGAAATGAGATAACAAAGAGGACAAGGTGATGGGCTAGTTATTTCGTTCTCATCGCTGGGACTAGATACTTGAGCAGAAGCAACGTTTCAGAAGAAAGATTTATTTTGGCTCACGGTTTAAAAGGGTACAATCCATCATGAGAGAGAAGGCACAGCAGAGTCCATGGCAGGAGTGTGCATCCAAAACACCTCAGGCCACCAGGAAGCAAGGAGAGACAGGGCTGTAAGGCAAGAGCCCCTCTCCACAATGACACATTCCCTCCAGCTAGGTCACATCTCTTGGAGATTCTACAACTCCTCAAATCAGCTCTACAAGCTGGCACCTGTAAGAAATAATAATAATAATAATAATAATAATAAGTCTATTTTGAAAAGTGCCTTGAGGCTCAGCTACAAATGAACAGAAAACACTATATGCCTGCTAATGCCTGCTATTCTAGTTACCCTCTCCACTCAAACTAAAAGGTTAGAGTAGAAAATTACTAACAGCACAGTTTAAGTAAGGTCCAAGTGGCAAAAATGAATTGTCACACATTCACTATTCCGAGTCTACGGGGCTCTTATTATGGAGTGAGAGTCCATGTTTCTCAAACGACCGAGTGTTGAAGCATATAAGCCTGTAGCGAACAGTTTACATGCAAACCCTAGTAGGAAGCTAACTCCTCGATTCTATTTTGATACAGCTAATAAAGCACATGACTAATATTGATAGAGAAGCAGAGCTCCTGATACTGAGCCTCTTATAACCTTGACCATCTTGCCATGAAAAAGAGGATGTCACCCTGGTAGCCAGTCTTAAAGCAAAATGAATCCTCGTTTTGGAAGTCTGCACTCAAGAAAAAACCGAAAAGCATGATTAAACATCTTAGCTTAGTAGTCCTCTCCGCTGGGTAGAAAAGGCTCAGAGTGTTTTGATTCCCCCTTTCCACATGGAAGGGCTGGGGATGTACACTCAGTGGTAGAGTGCTTGCCTAGTATGCCACAAAGGATGCTTGAGATGTCCCGTGGGCGCACGAGAAACAATCGAAGGGAAAGGGGGCAAGGCTGAAAATAGAGGCGTGTCCTACAATAGATAGACTAGCCCAGGGAGAGAACTATAGAGAGGAGGAGGAATGCAGTCTTGGAAGCAGCTATTGAAACAGAAGGGATGGAAAGAAAGAAAAAGATGGGCAACTGCAGTGAGGATAACTGAAAGGCTGAGAAAAGATTGGCGCACAGAATTAAGGAGGGTTGGCTCAGTGAGAGAACCTTGGTGTGCAAGATACTGAGTTCCACTCCCACAAGGGGGCAGGGGAAGGGAAACAAGGCTTTGGCAACATGGAGAGATGAAGGGCACAGAAATTTGATGGGGTCGGTCAAAGATCTAGAGTGCGAAAAGTAAGGGTTTGGAGATAGGTGATCGATCACCATTGACAAACCCCAGCACCTAGTGCTAAATCCCTGACTCAGTGTTGTTATAGGAGGCGCAGCGACACAAGAGATTTCCGCAGCGCTCTTCCGACTCTTGAAAGCCAACCCTTCACTAAAGGGCGCAGGGACTGAAAATCATCCCTCCAAGAAGCATGTGCGCTTCTGTTATAACCTTGGAGGAGGCCAGGCTCCGGCTAGAAACGAGAAGCCGGCTTCTCGCCGGGTCTGCGGAGACCGGGAGCGCGCTCGCGAAGGCCCGCCCCTCGGCGCAGCGCGAGCCTGCCCTGAGCGCGCACTGCGGCTGCGCGGGCCGGGCGCGCGGAGGGGGCGGGGACGCGGAAGGCGCGGCGGCTGCGGCGTGAAGAGAGCGGCCGCGCGGGGCGGGGGCGCCCGACGGCGTCCGAGGGCGCAGCGGCGCGAGGCCTGAGGGAGCGTACGCGATGCTGGAGACCCTGCGCGAGCGGCTGCTGAGCGTGCAGCAGGATTTCACCTCCGGGTGAGTACGCGGTGGGCGGCCGAAAGGGCCCCACGCGGGGGCTCCGGGCTGCCGTCGGGTCGGAGACAACGAACTTCCCAGCGTCCCGGCGGCGGCGGCACCGAGTCACTTTGGTCCCAGCGGGCGGGATGCCCTCCTGCCCTGTCGCGGGGCAGCGCTGCTTGACCGGCCAGGATAGTCACGTGAGAGGCTGTGTCCTCCGCACAGGGTGCTCGCGGGCCTACCCGGGGCTGGACTCACCCGGCCCCCGCTTCACCCTCCTCTTTCAGCCGGGACACCGGGCCGTTCGAGCGGATCTTTGACCATCCCTTCTCTGACCTTCTCTGCCTTTACCCCGCTTTAACACCCTGATGGAAGAGCTGGGACCGAGGGACAGAACTGGAGCGAAGCTGTTCACACCCGGAGTTGCCTAAACTTCGGACGCCCGGGTGAACCTTTCGCAATCTCCTGGCTCTCATCTCTGAGCTTGGGTTATGGCGGAATGTCACGGGATTCCGATGTGCTACAAAGTCTGGGAACTTTAGTGGGAACCAGGCTGCCTAAAGCACTATTGTAGGATTTTACCACTTAACCTGACTGCAGTCTCTTGTCTCTGCTTACGCTACTGTGTAGTGTAGCGACGGTGCTTATCTTGCAGTTAATGGGACTATTAGTGGCTCTGTTAAGTAGGCAGTAAGCACTGTTTATGTTTTTTTCTTATTTAATTCCTTTTATTGCTTTAAAATAAGTATCACATTATAAAGGAGCTGCCGTCCCTTTGGTTCGGTTTTTGTTTTGTTTTGAGACAGTGACTCACGCTGTAGCCCAGATCAGACTTGAACTGGTGGGAATACTCCTGCTTCAGCTGCCCCAACGCTGTGATTTCCGGCAACCACCACCATCCCCGCTGCTGGTCTGTCATGTGTTTGGAGAATGTCCCTAATGTGAGGGCACCTTTGTCATAATGCTACTTTAATAATTAATGGGAAAAATGACAGCCCATCTCTCATCTCGTGGAACAAAAACTGCTTATACTGTTTGCCTGTTCAATGGTAACAAACTGGCAGATAGTTGAAAGTTTCCAATGTATATAAAGCATTACTGATGATTTTAGTTTTGTGTTCTTGTCAATATTAATTATGGGTGCCTAAGGAATTATTCAGTGATAAGTGTTATTTCGTGCTTGCAGTTTTTTAAAAGCATAAATTTAGGAAAAGTAACTTCCTTTCTTTGAATGTAAACTTTAAAAACTTTGTATTGCTGTAATAGCCTGCTTGTAGCACTAGAGTGGCCATGACTAAAACCCGCTTGAATACCCTTCTGTTACAACTTCAGGGAATTCTTTGATGGCGCCACATTCCCTTTTGGTAGTTGCTAGGATCACATGATTGTCTCAGAACTCATCCCTGGGCTTGATACATGCTTCGGAATGTGAACTCTGGACTGCACAGCCCCACACCATCTTCAGAGATCTGGAGAGCTTAAAACGTTTAGAGTTTACTTAGGGATGGTAGCTGAGGAGGTGTGGTTAGGACCCCGTGGAGATCGATGTCATAGCCTGGGCCCAGCTCAGTTAGACACCATCCTGAGAAAGTTTTGTTCTGTGTAGGTTCTTATGTCTCAGCTTCTTCTCTGCACAGGTTACTTAGCCGACAGGTCAGCAGACTGTGCACCATCATCCTGTTACCTGGCTGGGAAACACCACTCTTCAAGTTACGTGTGCCTGCCAGTGACAGGGCAGCTCTAACTGCTGAGGGCCTCGCTTTCCTACACATTCTTTATTGAGGGAACAACAAAACAACCACAACAAAATCCATCTTTCTAAGCCTTCCGTATTCCTGCCTGAGAGCTTACCTACTCTGTTGTACATACTTGACCGTTTTGGCCTTGGCTAAGGAATTAAACACAGAAGTTAAGTACTGTTTCTGTTGTAACAGGCACTGGGGTTCAGTTGAGCCATGGCAGTCATCTCCCAAGGCCACCAAAGTGAACCTGGTGTCCCTGTGGGACCTTTGGTTGATAGAGCAAGTGTTTCTCAGGCAGAATAGCTGCCTTCTGAAAACAAATTTAAGTGTCCTGTGCTCAAGTTGCTCTGGGTTTGGTGTGTGTAGCGTTGCTCCTAAGAGCTAGCAGGACCCGTGACTCTCAGACTTTATGCTCATTTCCGTTTCTGAAAATTTATGTAACTGGAGCCTTAACTCTAGGCAAATTCCTTTTTTAATTTTTTTTAATCCATGTGTATGTGTGTCTATGTGCATGTATATTATGTATGTCTCTCTGTGTGTATGTGTGTCTCTCTGTGTGTATATTATGTGTATCTCTCTGTGTGTATATTATGTGTACCTCTATGTGTGTATATTATGTGTGTCTCTGTGTGTATATTACGTGTGTCTCTATGTGTGTGTATATTACATGTGTCTCTGTGTGTATATTATGTGCCTAT